ACGCTACTAGCATTTCAGGTCACAACTGCAGACTCCTGTCCAGTCAGCCTTACTTTTGCTTCATGGGGCACCCAAGCAGAAAAGCTTTTATTTCTCATTGATGTTTCTTTACTTTTTCTTTTTCCATTCTCAGGCTCTATTCTTTTTTAGTTCATTTTCAGGCTGCCAATTTAGCCAAATTTACACTGCTGACTTATATGGAAAATTTGTTAGGGATTCCTGCTTAAACTCCATATTAATTTTTCCTGTTCACTCACTTCAGTGAACTCACTATCAGGCTGACATACAGATTCTATTAACTCAGCAAGAGGAAGCACTCACTCTATTACCCACAATGAGCAATGAGCAAATTTCAGGATATCCCCCCAGCACTTGGAAGCAATTCAGGAGATCTCACATCTCGGCACACAAAGCTTCCTGGTCACTATTCTCTTTTCCCTCTGTTGAACTACCCACGGAAACTCCTGTTAGTTCTCCCTATCTGCTCACTGAGATATGTACTTGCCTGGTGTAACATGGGGTCACTGATATGCAAAATACCATAGTCTGTGATTGAAATGAATGAGAATCTTATATTTTGGGATGGGACTACATCATAATAAAAAATATTGCTTACAACTCTCTGTTGATTTGCTGTGGGGAGCCCTCTTGAATTTTGAGGAGGCAAAAGAAGACTTCAAGCCCTGCAGGTAGAAAAATAAGATGACTCTGATGTGAAGACTGACCAAACTCTTTTGGTACCTGGAAACTAGAACCAAGGACATACATAGGATTGCTGTGGTTGAAATGAAAAGCTCATCTTCTATCTTGTAGTTCTTAGTTTCTTTACGCTATCCAACACATCACTAGTATGTGCATTAACCAAGGCTCCTCCATCAAAAGAGAGGTTTTCCATTTTGAAATGTATCCTTTGGGACAGACTTGCTAGTTTGCGCCAAACATAAGGATAGAAGGCTATTGATCTAGCCAAGGTCATCACAGCACAATAAGCAGCATGTTTGGAGCGTTTAATATACTCCTTTGAAAAATAAATGTTTTCCATCTCAAAGAAACCTCTTGAGAAAGTACTGATAATGTGATATGTAAGCTTCATGGTTGGCACTAGAAAATTCCAAAGAAGCTGAGAAGTACTGTTTATTTTACCTAGCATCCAGTATTTAGCCCTCTTTTTCAGCTGGTGCTGAATGTTTCTGGCTAGAATTTCCTTGGGAAGCCTCAACAATAACTGAAACTAGCACTTGAGAAAAAACAATCTATATCCCTTACATTATTAAGAGTTTCCAATTTCTTGTATACTGGTAGTGTAGTTGATGGTTTCTACAGCAAGAGCATGTTGTTGCTTGACTTCCAGTTAGAAAGCATGAGCCATTTGAAATAGTTGCTGTGAATAATATTTTTTTCTTCTTTTGAAAAAAATAGGCGTCCAATAATGCAATATCAGAAGAAAGCATGACAGTTCAGAAGCAAAAACTAAAGCAGATTCTGATGTGCTACCCATCCCTTTAGCACACAGGATATTCCAGTCTTCTTGGCAGACAATGCCACAGAAACAGGAATACATTTCAGATTAATAAATAGTATGGAATGAGAGCAAGGAAGAAAATCCTGGGGTTAGGAAGATAAGAGATGCAAAACTGAGGAAGCTGCTTATAGTACAATTGTAGAAACAGATCACATCAAATAGATTGATTGACAGATCACATCTGTCAGATTGTAGAAACAGATCACATCAAATAGTACAATTGTAGGTTGAGTGTCACATCTGAAAGTTGGAATATTTGCCAATAGCAATGTATAAAATATTGCTGAACAGCCTTGTAAAACCATTGCTTGGTCTGTGCCTGAGCTGAAACATGTGTTTAGGAAATGCTGGTCTGTACATAGAAGGAAACCTGACTGTTTTGTTCAACACATGGACTGAACTACAGTTGTTCCTGGAAAAAGTATATATGGGAGTATAAGAACAGGAAAAAGCCAAGGACACTGCCAGCAGCAGCTGAGAGAAGGTAGGAAAGGGAGGGAAGGGAAAGTACTGGAAAGGTTGGGGGACAGGTGGGCTGGTGGGATATGCTATGTTGGGAGGCTGTTCCTTACTGCAATAATAAACCATTGCAGTTAAGGAACAAGCACACAGCCAGTATATCAGTGGCAGCTATAGAGAGGGAAGAAAGCAAAGTGCTTGGAAGATTGGGCATAGGCTATCTGGTGGGATCTGTTGATCTGGGACATTGGTGCAGCTGAGGGAAGGCACTGAAGGATAATGCTGGAAAGCTTGGGAGTGGACAGGCTGGAATAAATTGTGCTGGGACAGTAGTGGTGATTGAGAGAAATCGGAGAGGGAAGTAGTAAGAAGATTGGGGTGCACAGCCTGGTGGGATATGATAAGCTGTGATATCTGTGAGAGCTGAGGGAAGGCACAAGAGGAAAGAGGCTACAAAGACTAGGGAGTGGGTAGGCTGATAGGATATGCTGCATGGGAAGCTGCTGAGAGGGAGTCAAAAGAGAATTGACGTGAACCAGCCTTGCCTATTCATCCCATAAAATCACTCTAGCATTCTCCAAAATCCTTCTGAATTTTCTTTCATCCAAAATGTGCTTGGTATTGTTTCTGTGGAAACATAGCCAATTTAAAATTATTCACCGAAAACTTTTGGAGTACAACAGTTTGTTCTGGATTAAAACAAAACATATTTTCTGCTTTGTGCACATCCCTACTGCTAAGGAATCTGAGATTGAAAATCACAGACTGAGTAGCTACAATTCTGGTTTTCACTACGGGATGTGTAGTTTGAAAGCCTCCTATAAAATGAGTTGATATCCAAATCAGGATCATTATCAGAGTAAGGAAGGGCAACAGGGAGAAGGCTGAACTGCTTAATTCTTATTTTGCATCTGTTGTTTTGCAAAAGAAAAAATGACAGGCCCAAACTATCAGAAGCCACACTGGGGTGAGGGTAAGAAGAGAAAGATCAAAATAAAGAACTGGTGAGAGAATGCAGTAGTTTTGAATGAATTTAAGGTTCTGGAACTGGATGGATTACATCCCAGGGTGCTACAGGAATTAGCACGTGATCTCAGAACACTGATTGTAATCTTTGAAAACGCTTGAAGTACAGAAGAAATGGTAGAAGATTATAGAAGAGCTAAAGTTGTTCCCATCTTCTTTTAAAAAGAAGAAAATTTGATTCAGGAAACTACAGACCAGTCAACTTGACATCAATAACTGGGAAAATCCTAGAAAAGATAATTAAGCAGTGGATTTTCAAGCACTAAGACAGGAACAAGGTGATTACTAGAAGCCAGAATGGTTTTGTCAAAAATAGGTCATGCCAGACAAATCTTACTGCTTTTTTTTTTTTTTTGACAAAGTGACTAATTTAGTAGACCAAGGCAATGCTGTGAACATAAGTGTACTTAGACTTCAGTATCGCATTTGATAACATTGACCATAGCCTTCTCCTTGTTAAAATGGAACAATGTGAGATGGGTTGTCCCATTAGTAGAAGGATTTGTAGCTGACTGAACAACCAGACTCAATATGTGGTCCTTAAATGTTTCTGTGCCAACATGGAAAGGTAAGTATCCTGTGGAAGATCTCAATTACTTAGATGTGGGATTAGAAGGGGTACTCAAAAATTTGCAGATGATGCAAAGCTGGGGGGGGGGTTGTTAGCATCTCAGAAAACAGGCTCAGTGTTCCAAAGGATCTTGATAGTTTTGAACATTGGGCCATATCCAACCAAATGAAGTTCAATGTTGAGAAATGTAAGTTCTACACTTAGGAAAACAGATAGGCATCAATGGCTTGCCAGTAGTACTTAGAAGATCGATCAGGTAATCCTGGTAGACCACATGAGCCAGCAGTGCGCTGCCACCACCAAAAGAGCTAATGCACTCCTGGGAAGCATGAATAGAGCTTTAGTGTTGAGATCACAAGAAGTGACAATTCTGCTCTATGCTGCACCAGTCAGACTGCACTTGGAATAATATGACCAATTCTGGTTGTCTTAATACAAGAAGGATGCTGAGGACCTGGAAAGAGCGCAAAGAGTGCCAAAGATGGCAAGGGGCTTGGAAGCTAAATCCAATGAAAAATGGTTAAACAAACAAGTTGTGTTTAGCTTTAAGAAGAAAAGTCTGAAAGGAGACATGATAGCAGTTTTTCAAATACTTAAAGGGCTGTCTTAGGGAAGAGTGTGTGGATTTGTTCTCCATAGCTCCTGAGGATAGGACAAGAACCAATGGATGGAAGTTTTACAGAGGGAGATCCAAACTTTAAATTAATACATTCCTGAGTGAGAGCTATTCAGCAGTAGAACAGCTTGCCTCCTGGAGTTGTGGGTGCTCTGTCATTGGAGGTTTTCAAGCAAAGCTTGGAGAGTCATTTGTCCTGGATAGTATGAGGATTCCTGCTCTGGGCATAGGGTTGGATCAAAAAAAGTCTAAGAGCCCTTCAGTCCTATGATTCTGTGAAGGTGGTCTCCTATAACTATCCTATATACAATAAGGTGTCAATAAACAACTTTAGTACAGTTGTCTCCTGTAATGCAGAATCCTTTTATGTGATATACAGAGATCATAAAGAAGAATGGTTTCTCTTCTTTTTTTCCAGAGACAGAATATGTTCTGAATTTAGAGAACAAAACCCAGTATTTAGTTTTAACAAAAATAAAAATTAAAGAGACAGGGAGATCCTTCTTCCTTTTAAAGTTTTAGAGCTTCAAAGAGGGAAGAATGCAACTCACAGTCTGGATCTACTATACAGCTAAACCAAAATACAGAATGAGTTGTGGGTGGGAAACAGAGTAAAATAGAGAATGGGATGGGAAAAAGCCTCAGACTCCAGAGGGAAGAAGTTTTGCAATCAGTTATATACTCTACTGCCTTTATTAAACTGAAATATGCTTAATACTTTGGAAGCAAAATGCTTATTCTTTCTAGTCTGTAAATGAGCATTTAAGTAAGAAAGAAATATTGTAAGAACTGAAGAGACTTTTTACCTGTTTGAAGTTGCCATTTTTTCGCTGTTCCCAATCCATCATGTCATGAAAAATGGGGATCATAATGTTGCGGACCTCCAGCTGTGGGACAAGTGTGACACCCAGAAAAGGACCGATCATTCCAGGAATAAAGTGAATTTTATGTTCCCCTAAACAACAAAAAAATGAACAGTTATTTATGCTATTCCCTCTGCATCCCACTTCCCACTCTTTTATGTTGACCTTCACTGCTAATTGAAAATATCCTATAATTGAAGGTACAGAATCAAGTCAGATGTGAATCAAGTTAGATGCCTACTTCTATAAAGAATTAATCCAAGAAGGAACAGAGTAGGTTATGCATGTGAATGTGCACTCTGAATGCTCCTCTAACAGTGGATGAAAGATTGTCCAGCACAGTGCTATTATTTTATTAAATATAAATCTTAATTTAAGACAACTCAAAGACGAATTTACCTAGATTCTGCCACATGCTAAAAAGCTCATATGCCATCATCACACGCATATCACCATATCTGGAATATAAACACAGACCAGACAAAAGAAAATTAAATGGAATATTGGGATTTTTAAACTAAAACAAGTTTTCTGTAACATTACTACTACACTACATCTTAAAAAAGCAAACAGTGAAAGAAACAACTGCCTTACTTTCAAAGCAAACATCTGAGAATGAAAATTAAATTAATATATTCTTACTTGTCCAGAATCTTTTTCTGCTTAGATGGAGTAAAAGTTTCTAGCTGCAGGCAGGGTTGGTTAATAAACAAAACTGACAAGCTGAAATAAGAGTTCCAGGCCTAAAGAGTAGAAAAATAGTAGAAGCAACTAAATGAAAACTCTGATCATATATGTTTTTAGTATGTTTTTAACAAATGTCACCTGATTTTCTAAAAAGGACTGAAGATAATGATAATGACAATGTATTTATTATGATGATATATTTATATTCTGCATATCGCCCATAGTCCCCTATTGTGGGGGAGATGGGCGGGGGAGAAATCCAACAAATAAATAAACAAAATAAATAAAAACACCCAAGGCAATTGATTGTAACAAATAAATACAGTCATTACATAATGATAGTAGTTCCAACCAGTGATAGTTATAACCACAGTATGTGAAGGAAATGGACAACAGATAAGGAAAGAAACTTTTATGTTTCATGGTCTATTCTGGATGTAAGTACTCTACATTTGCTGTGTTTGCACTTTTTTCATACACATCAATAGGCAATGCATAGCAGAACACAAACAGAAGGTCCACTTCATAACAATTCTATAACTGAATTTCTTAAAGTGACCATCTATGAATTCACACAGAAAAGGCAAAGGCTATGCCCATCTGAGGTGGGAAAACCCATATGTATCAATCACAGAGACTATGATGAAAAACCAAGAATTTTTGAATTTTATAAACATAATTTCTAAAATAAAATAACTTGTGTTGCAATCTTTTACATCATTACCTGGGAGTTGGTTCAATCCAGGTGGGATTTACCTCTGAATAGACATATATAATTAATTGTGCAATTCCTTACAATAGTTTAAAAAGTTAAATCTTTTGGAATAAAAGTACTATCCTTCTCATTATAGTCTGTTAAAATTCATTTTCACTAGACTGGTTCAGAGGGATTTGCGTTTTCTGGTAAACTTTTTCTATTATACTATTTTGTCTAGAACTCACACTTGGCTAAAATATGAAATATGGAACTCCAAAGATGAATGGGTAGCCACAGTCAAAATACAGGTAGTCCTCGCTTAACAACCATTTGTTTAACGATAGTTCAAAGTTACGATGGCCTCGGAAAGGGTGCTTTACATCCTGTAAAACACTTCTGGGCCTTGTAAAATGTCACACCACCACCCCCTACAGTCACGTGGCCGCATTCTAGGTGCTTGCCAACTGGCTCGCATTTATGACTGGTTGCCAAGTGCCGAGCGATCATGTGATCGCAATTTGCAATCTTCTCTGCAGGCTTCCCCAGAAAGTCAATGCAGGGAAGGTTGCAAGTGGAAGGGATGGAGGGAAACCTCTCGGTGGTGTGTAGGAACAGAGCTCAAATCTTGAAGGTTTGATTGAAGATTGAAATCCTTCAGCAGACAGCTCTTTCACCCCGTCCACTTACTGACCCGGGAGATCACTTAATAACTGCAACCAGGAGCACCTGGATTGTGGTCGTTGAGCAAAGCAGTCATGTGGGCATCTCGCTTAACGACTGCTTCACTCAACCATCAAGAGTCCAGTCCCAATTGTGATAGGCGAGAACTACCTGTATATAGTACTGACTTTGGGAGTCGAACAAGAAATGGCATCAGCATGAGAAAAAAGCTTCAAAAAGAAATGCAAGTGCCTAAGTCACAACTGGTAGCAGCACTGAACCATAAAAATAGATTGTCTGTGTATGTGTGTGTGCGCATGTATCATTATGCACACAGTTAAAAAGATATGTTGACATTTCTATAGAAAAGAATGTATCATTTTTCATATCAATAGAAACAATGAAATCTGGAATATATCAATCTAACTTTAACTTTACAGGTAGCTCTCACTTAATGACAGCAACTAGGACCAGAACTTCCGTCGCTTAGTGATGCAGTCATAAAGCGAGATGTCACGTGACTACGCCGCTTAGCAATGGAAATTCCGGCACTTCCAGTTGTCATTGTTAAGTGAATCACTGCAGGTCATTAAGTGAGGATGTCACATGGTCGCCATTTGCAACCTCCTGCTGGATTCCCACTAACTTTGCATGTAGGAAAGCGGCAAAGAAAGTCACAAATGGCGATCACGTGATTGCAGGGACACTGCAACAGTTTAAGTACGAGAACGGTCATAAATACCACTCATTCAGCACTGTCCTAAGTTTAAATGTTCACTGAATGAGTGGTCATTAAACGAGGGTCACCTGTACTCTTTGTATTTATCTATTTTTCTATTTTGAAGATCTGAACACTCTTGGTGGACATTGGTGCACATGCTTTATTCGCTGTCATTTAATAGCAAAACAGATACAATGTTGACAATTTAGCATTATAAAGAATTTTAAAAATACCTTAAAATCAAAATCTGTTTCCGTGAAATTCTTATGTAGTGCTGCAGACAGATACTGAACTGTTGTAACTATTACACTATAATAATGAAAGAAACAACATTATAGTAGTGTTGTACAGCATATGCAGAATATTTCTATCTAAATTTAGTGAAAAATCTTGTTCTTTTATATTTATTGATGAAATAATGGTTAATATCTGATTTTTAAAAATTGCTGATCTATTGGATCATGAATGCGAAGATACCCACAGACATTCTAATCTAAAAATTTGTCCTATGGAAAGCTAATTCTTAAATAGATTCCAATCCGAATACTTCCTTGAAAATGTATCCATATGAAATTATTCCATAATCTCTTAAACAGCATGCTGAAGTTCTAAATAATAACTTCACCCTCATATTTTGGTTTGTTCATAGCTACTATTAAGAAGTGTATTATATTGTGTTGATGTTCTGCGAGTTTTTTTGTTGTTGTTCAAGATATTTATTTTCATTTTTGTAACTGGTTGTGATTGTTAAAGTGTAAAATAATATGCTAATGTTATAACAGGAACAAAGTATTGCCACATACTTTGGATAGCAAGGGGGAAAATACATCTACAACACCCTAATTCCCTGTCTTGATGAGCCTCTCATCCCATTCTGATAGCTATAGGCATGGGATGCCTCAAGAGGAAAGGATTCACCAAAATTATAATTCCATTTTTCTGCCCCAGCCAATCAAGCTACTAAACTGCAGGGCAAAGCTATGGTATGGCTATGCCCTCAATTCACCCAGCCAGTTCTCAGTTAATACCTTCCAATGAAGAACAAAAATGGAAGATACCTAAAATGGCCTGATTAAAAGCTTAGTAAGCTGAAAATATTTTTAAAAAGCATCATTTGTAAAAAAAAAAAAATGTACATGATTTTTAGAAAAAATTCAAGTGTTCTAAAATGCATCAGCACTCACTTGCTGGTGAGTAGTCTCATCACCATCCAATCTCGAGGAAAGACACTCATCTTCATCAGATTTCGAAACACACAGAAAATCTTTAGAAGAAATTCCTAGTAAAAACCAAGAGAATCATGTTAAAACATCATTAACTGTGTGGTTTGAAACAAACATGCACCTGAAGGCCCGACAAGCTAGACTCAAGTGAAAAGAGATTTTTTTAAAGTTATTTTGGTCCTAAGTATCTGTAAAACTGAGAGCCAGTTTGATGTGGTGGTTAAGGCACCAGGCTAGAAAACAGGAGTCAGTTTTAATCCTGCTTAGACATGAAGCCAGCTAGATGACTTTGGGCCAGTCACTCTCTCTTAGAGAAGGGAGAGAAAACTTGTAAGTCACAAAATGGGATGGAACAGTAGTTCCCTCTTACAGATTTTTCTCCAATAGCCCTAGGTAGAAGGCCATGGCAAACCATTGCTGAAAATATTGCCAAGGAAACTGTAGGGACTTGTCTAGGCAGTTGTCAAGAGTCAAGACTGACTTGAAGGCACAAATAAAAGAAAAAAGAAAAATGTATGGTGATTATCAGAATCATTTTCAGGGCATAGCTGCTGTACACCAGTCAAAGATAAGAAAAAGTATCCTATAATAGATGCCTCTTGGAATCCACTACTTCCAGTTTGCTAACCTTTTTTTTTCAAAGGGAACATAATCTGTATCTTAAAAACAAAGTCCAAGTTGCATTATGGTCAGTCATCCTAATAACCATGAGCATTTATGTTGTATCTGGATTAAATTTTAATTTGTTACTTTTAAACAGTCTATTATTGATTTTAGGAGTACATTCAGATCTCCTCAACCTCACTGGAATTATAGAATTGAATGTCACCAGCATATTAATAATATCAAACTCCAAATTTCTAGATGCTGCATCCTTATGATAAATAGTATGTAGGACAGTAACTTGAAATCTTGGCCATAGCTTCTTGCCAGTTAGCATCAAAACATGTAGGAATTTAAGGACCAGCTGGAACTTCTAAACAGTATAATCTCTACTTTTTTTACCACCTCCTTCCCTCTCTTTATTGTTTTTCCCTTTATAAGGTTCTATATCCATCTTTACATTACTATTCACATAGGAAATCTGTCAAGATTAAAACATTCAAGAACAATTCCTCTAAGCTATTTAGTAATCATCAAATGTGTATGTTGAAACTCAGTATACAATCAGTACTGAAAACCTTTAAAACATATTTTGTTTAATTTTTCTGAAAAATGGATATTATTGCTATATTGCATCAGATATTTTACTATAGTTACTTTAATAAATATGTTAATGTTAAAAGTATTAAAATGTATAATATATTTTAAACTACTCTTTTGGGGTTTACCTTTCATTGATTCTTCATTGATAGCAGAATTACAATTAACAGAAGAAAAATACCAAAAGAACAAAAATATGAAGCATCAATAAAATAATATCAGTACAAAAGCAGCATAAATATGAGGATTGTATCAAATAGATTCTAGCTTAAATAATTAGATTCAACTGTATTAAATGATTCAATCATTTCAAAAAAAAATTATGCAACTCAGATGACACAGGAACAACATCTAACTGCCAATTGATTTGTATCTGCAGTATGAATCTGGGTCAGCTTCCTACACTACTTTTTTACTTGGGAAAATTCATACATATTGTTTCCATAAATTAGTGCAATTTTATATACAGTATATATTGAGTTCAGTAGGACCTATTCTCAATTGAATGTGCAGGGTAAAATAAATAATATGGAATGAATTTGTGTCTGTGACAAAACAGAAAAGACTTCTATATACTGTAGGTGAGATCATTCTCAGCATTCCAGAGCTACAAAGACATACACCAGCACAAAAACACAGATGTGAAATATAACTAGGCCTGCATTTATCATCTTACCTTTAGTTCATCTTTACTCTGGAAATTGTCAAGTAAATGTTGAAAATGAGTATCTGACATTTGACGGAGTAGAGACAAAAGACAGGACACGTATTCCCCCTGTTAATTCCAAAGAATAATCATTTTAGTGGAATAATCATATTCATAAGTCTAAATAAAAATTAACTTGGGGTATAGGAAAAAGGTGTGGGAATTGAAAATGGTGTGATGTTTATGAATCGAAAAATACACATCTATGAACTTTTCTCCATTCTTCTTTATCATGTCTATACTTTTTAAATAAATTCATACTACATAGAAAGTATTTATGTAAAGAGACATAGACACCAAATCATATTAAAAAATGGAATACAGAATAATTCAAGGACTAAAGGATGAGCATTTGCTTTTCCTCTCTTCAGTGGAAAATATATTTTTTTCCTCTGAAAGAGAAATAAATTATATAGTTTGAAACGTATTTTTCCTATAATTAGGGCTCTGAAGTTTTTTCAATTCCTCATAGCATGCAATACAGCATTGCTTTCTACCTTATAAAGAAATTTTCATTTCAGTTGAGGCAGGGGTGGTGGTGGCCGGGAACCAAGCAGGGACCCAGGATGATCTGAATAGAGTATTTCCAAAACTAAGTAAGACTATTGTCATTCTGCAGGTAATTTTGGTTGGGTTCATATAAATATGCTAAATACTAGATCTAGTTTAACAAAACACAGCTGTGTTCTCATAATATGCTAATGATTCACAAATAAACCATATTATGGCTTAAGCCTGATTGAAACAACATGCTGAGTTCAGACAATACGCTATCCAATCTCATTTTAGTGTAGTGTGAGAATCCAGTTATTTAGCATTTGACTTAAGTGCTCACTGATTATTTTCAATTATTACAGCAGATGCCTTAGAAGTAATTAAAAACATAACCTAGAGAAAGTAGGCTAAGTAAACTAACAGCAGCATGGCTGCAGTGCTTAGCTTTACCCCAAGAGTGCAGGACAGTTATTTTTAGTTTTGTAACACAGAGAGGTGAATGAAGGAAAAATGTAGTAAGATGGAGATGAGAGGATGGGGAAAGGGAGCAGGCTGGAGAAGCAGGAAATAGAACCTGATGGTTAGTTACTAACAGTGATTTCAGCTGTGCATTGTGGACAACGCTGCCCTCTTACCGCCTCCTGAGATTGTGATTTACTCATAATAGTAAGCAGAGTCTGTAATAGTACATCCAGGAGGCTCTCCACCATCATTTCTACCTCCTCAATTACATCTGTCTCCTATAGTAAACAGTAAAACACAAAAGAGTTAACATCCAATAAAATGGAAACGAAAAGTTTTGAAGTTGCTTTTGGATGGCTGTTTATTCATTTATCTATTAGGTTTATATACTAGAAGATAAGATGAGCTGTAGGACAGTTATTGGCCCAAAGTTAATTTCCATGGCTTAGGTAAGACTTGAAAGTAGATCTCCCTATGCCTATTCCTATGTCTTCATTACTTCATTGATAGTTCTTAGCTTGCTTTTACCTGCTTTTCATTTATTTTCTATTTATTTAAGATTATTGTATATTGTAATTTAAATTGATTTAACTGTTTTGTAAACCACCCAGAGTCATTTCAACACGATGGGTGGTGACAAATGAGAGAGAGAGAGAGAGAGAGAATAAAGGGCTCCTAGATCAAATTATAGAATTTGCACTAGGCTCTGCAAGATCCTGCTCTCAGGCTTCCACTAAAGGATATAAGACACAAGAAAGGAGAATGAGAAAGGAAAAAATCTATTACCCAAAACATAAAAATGCATTGTAACCAATTTCATTCAAGGCTTAGTCCCCAGTGGTTCTCATTTTTAAAACCCTTAATGGTGCAATCCTATGGTCCCAGATAAGGCATCCCAGGGAGTCACAGGTTTCATCAAATTTCAGAAATCATAATAAGGTTCTCCCTCTCTGATTTCTTGTTTTTAACTCCATATTTATTTAAATCTATAATAATGGATATTTTGTATTCCTAGATCAATTATGCTTATAATAATCTGTTACCTAATTAAACACAATTAATTTATTACCCTAATACTTTTCATTCAAGCCTGTTCACATACAAAACTGTATGGTTAGAATTATGCCCAGATCTCTCTTTTGGAATATTACCAGAAGAAAAAATATTTTGGGATGTTGTTAAACTTCCTTTGGGTATCTGGGATAGCATCTTTACAAAGATGTTACGATCCAAACTTATTTTCAGAATGTGTAAATCAATTCTAAGGTTTATAATTAAACAGCCATCTTTGAAGGTAGCTAGGAATATATTAAATGAACAATTTTAGCAACGTCATATTATTATTATCATTATTATTTGCTTGCTCAGCAATACTGTCTACCCAAGATAAGTTGAATTTTCCATGGATAATTTTGGAAAAAAATTAGGAAATTATTTAAGAGTCTAGGACATACTACAGTCTGGATTTCATGTGTTAGACAGAATTCTAATCACATTCATTATTCTGCTACAGATGTAGAACAATTCTATATGGGCTGGCCAGCAGCCACATATCTCCTCTCAAGTAAATGTGAAAAACTTTGTTAAGTACAATAACTAATGCACAATTTTCTGTCATTTATCTAGAATGAAACATATAATTCTATGAACATACACGTATACTATGTACAACTTAGCTCCTACTATTACTACTATTCTCTAGTATTTGCACAGTCCCTATATTCCATTAATCTATGATAAGTAGGTCACAAACAACTATACTATGTGGCAAAAGATAACACATCATTTGAATTCTTAAGAGGGAGGGAGGAGGGAGGTAGATAGACAGACAGACAGACATAGATTACCACGGAGCTAGTTTTGATGATAGAGAAGATACTGCTAAGAATTCCAGAGCAGATAAGCAACTCTTTTTGTTGTCTCAGATGAAGATGAATATGATGAAGGACCACAGGTAATAAGATTCGCCGGGATTCTAGGAATGGGAAACCAGACGCTTGACATTATTTTACAGGAGAACTCAAAATACTGGAATAAGAAGCCTGCCTCATCTTAATTCATAAGCATGTATATAGAAATTGAAGTGCTATCATTAATAACAGAGAAGGATGCAATGAAATTAATTTAATTGGCCTTTTAATAAATAGTGTAACAGCTTAATTAGAGGCCTCCAAGAAACAGATTTTAAGGGGAATCCATTTTCACTCATTCAAATGCTAATTCTGAAGAGTTAATTTACAAAATGTTGCAAAAAGGTATACATCACTTGCAGTATAGTAAATAAAATATGTAAATTATCTTTATTGGCAGCAAGTTCTTATTTTCCTTCACTATTTAATTAATGTTGCTTCTCCACAGAAGCTAAATAGTCAAAAGTCATGAACCTACAACATTACCAACTGTCATAAAAGATATGATCACAACAGGTGGCACAGATACTGACTACAAAAGAGAAGGAAAGGGAAGTATTTAAGTAACTTGAAATCTCCAACTTTTCCTTTGATATTCATGTGAATCATAAAATACCAGAAAAGAGACAGTGAAGTTCACATATATGTCCTCCTTCAAAATAACATCAGGGATATAAAGCTGGCTCTTCCCCCAAGTGCTAAAAAAAGGATGAGGTGGAAGCCTGTGGATGGTTCTGTTGGATGCATCTGAGAAGGATAGCTGAAGTGCCAGGTTTTTGGTTTTCTTGTTTTTTACTGAGGTGAGCCACCCAGAGTTGAGTTCTTAAGATAGGAGGTCCATATAAATCTTTTAAATTAATTAATTAATGCATCTTAGACCCCTCCGAAGTGTGGACACCAGTTCCCTAGCTAAATCTGTAAGCATTTCTAAATATAAAAGCTATTATGAGGAAACAGCTTTACTTTTGTGTGTACAAGTAGTCCTCAACTTACGACCATTCATTCAGCAACTGTTCAAAATTATAAACACACTGAAAAAAGTGCTTTCAACCCGTGCCTGAAGTTATGGCTGTTGCAGTGGCCCCACAGTCACATGATCAAAATTTGGGTGTTTGGCAGCCCGCCTACACTTACAACCACAGGGACGCTTCAACTCTCCCCACCAGCCTGTCTCCCCCCATTATGACTAGCCCAGCTCAGCAGCCAGGCCAGGCATGTCACATCAGCAATGGGAGCAAGAAGACAGCGAAGGTCAGCTGAGGCAGCGGAGCACAGGGCGGCAGGGGTCTTGGAGTGCAGGGTGGTGAGGGTTGGGACTGGGCTGGGGCAGTTGCAGCTTCCTGGGTCATGGCAAGCAACCGCAGAGCCGTGCAGTTCTCGGGCTGCTTGCCACCCTGCAAGGGAGGTGCAGGGCAACCAGAAGGGCAGAAATGGGGGAGGGATAAGCAGGTGGGGGGAGTTGGAGGCAGTCCCTTACCTTCCTGAGGTTCAGGGCTGTGCGGGACCAAGCCCAGAATGGCTTGGATTGGGGTGGGTACTCGCTTAACGACCTTCAATTCTCAGTTAACAATGGCAACCAGAACTGCCGGGATTGCGGTTGCTAAGTGATGTGGTCATATGATGTCTCGCTTTACGATCGCATTGCTTAGCAACGGAAATTCTGATCCCAGTTGTGGTCGTAAGTCGAAGACTACCTGTACAGTTGTGCGAGGTTGTTATTATAATTGTAAATAAGCTTTTCAAGATCCATTTTTTTCCTTTAAATTAAAGGCGAAAAATTTTAAAAAGAGTATATTTAAAGAGAACGCAGCGTCCCCTGGCTATAATTCTGTGTAGAGTGGGCACTTATATTTAAAAAAATACTTCTCACTTCATTTCAATTTCCTAATTTTCCATCTATTACTGAACTCAGGTACTAATGCTGACACAAAACAGCCCCATTCAGAAATAAAGGAAATATATCTGGGGGGGGGGAGGGATTTCAAAAATTACAGGACAATCCTCTCCCCATTTACATTAAAATATAAGAGGGAAAGCAAAAGCAGATGAAACAGTTCAAGGCAAAATCAGCATTTAGGAACCACAATATACAAAGTTGTTCAAGGAAAACAGAAAAAGAGGGAGTGTAGTATTCTGGAAGAAGATGTGGCTGGTTAGAATAGCAACACTATACGGTATCATTTTTGCAGCACATGGTATTTGTACATTACTTCTAATGAACCAACTTTTCAAAGTATAATTTGTTTTATGCCATTTTAGGGATACAGTATATGAAACTATTTTAGTTCTGTCCACATTGGGTATATAAAGAGATGTGTTACAATTATTAATTCTATGATTGTTACCTGAGAAAGAAAATAAGCGACTGTCTACTGTACGAGCTATAGATTGCAATTTAACCACATCCATAGATTGTCCAATATGCACTGTACTGGGCATGCTCCCAAGCGTTCCTCGCACAAACTCTGCTACTTCTTGTACTGTGAACATCTGCAATAGTTCATCAAAAATTGCAGGGAAAGAATTCAACAGAGCAGCCTAAAAAGAAAATGAAGAAATACGAGACTTTTGTGAACTGTATTAGTATACAACAATCAAACACTACCAGTTTTTACTAGGCAACAGAAGTAATGATACAAGAAAAAAAAAGGCAGGAAATCCCTATTAAAGCTCCATGTTTCTATCAGAAAGAGATCTTGGAAATTATGCCATTGTAACATGAGATCATAATAGAAAGGTAGCCCAAAGCACAATATCTTATGATACTGAAGCACAGAATAAAGACTCCCACACTGCTCATATCTTCTGAGCTGTTTTGAGATCACATGTTATGAAAACTGAGTATTTTTGTGGATATTACAATTGATAGGGAAGATCATTGATAGGGAGGATGGAAGTGGGAGATGAGATTACAATGAGATTACAATGCTTCATGAGATTAGAAATCTATGGTACTGTTACCATCTTCAGACAAACATAGATGCTTCCAAATATTTTCTGTTAAAACAGGGAGATCAAAGAAAGAAGGAATGGAACAGGAGTATATTATCTGGCTCTTACAATGAATTATTATAATTCATAAATATCTATTTGAAGAGAACTAAGAATCTCCTTATAGAAATGTATACTGATTTTTTTTTTGTTGCATTTGCAACATTATAATGTGGCATTTTGCTTAAATTTGAGAAGGCAGTACGTTTATGCATCATATATGGCAAATCATATAAATAACAGGGTTTGAAAATATGACAATGTGCATTCTTCAATAGCTTTATGTTCTTTGTTCTTATACTAAAACTGACACTTCCAGAATATGATAAAATAAAGGTTTAAATCCTGAGCACCCATCAGCAGAACTTTGTTTACAGGATGTTCCAAGAGTTATAGCAATCATGTTTTCAATTATTCCTTCTCTCCTGCAGCCCTCTGCAGATCTGCTATAGAGTGAGAGGACAGCCTAAAGCAATGTGGGTTGTTGCAAGGAGAATCTGCAAAAACTAATTCCTCTCTCCTAGAGCAGTAGCTTCCATCATATTACAAACCCACTCAACAGAAGCAGCACTTACTTTAGTGCTGGATAAGAATTTTTTTTCAGCCCAAAGAGCACATTGTCTTAATGAAAAACTGACACAAACTGTGTATCATCAGTGGATAGAGCCAAATTGCCAAGTGCCAAAGCCAAAATTAGCAATAAGTACGTCACACCACATTCTGTGTCACGTGCATGCATGCAATATGCCATTTACATTCTCATCCATCCACTTATATGAAATTCATATGTAACACCCATCTAGATAGATATAACACATAAAAATACAGTTATCCCAAATCTTCCCACCACATGCCATGCTACAGTTTGACAAGTGCAATTAGGGAGAGAGAAAGATAAGAATCGTGAGAGCTTTAGAAATAAGCATTAACTCTCCAATTGTGACTTCTCTCTTTGCTTCCTCTTATAATAATTTCTGTTTTATCCCTGCGATTAGTCTTAGAAAACTATGATATTGTCTCAGATAAAAGGCATTTCCGAGTTCAATTTCAATGTTGGTGGTAAGGAGGAAGGACAAGAGTACATTGGAAGATGGAAAAAAATGATCAGACCTGCCCAGTCCAGCTGAACCTTCTTCTCCCTATCACTCCAGCTATAGTAATTTAGACTTGGAAACCCAGTTGCAACACAGGATGCAGTAGCTAGGAGGGAGTGTTGCAACATGCAAAAGGTGAGAATTAAGTCTTTGCTTCCTGGCTGCAACCCCACTCCCCACCCCAAAGCTAGTGCTGGTAGAAGTGAGCAACTCATTCTCTCACAGCGTTTGGAAAATCTTTTGATAAATGATGCCATAGGATACAAGTAACACATCCTCCTATGGTGAGCAGTACTACCAATGGGATTTGCAGTAAGCCATAATGATGCCAAAATGGCATGTGTTTCATGACATCATTGCACAAATGATGTAATAATGCAATGATGTCATGACATCTGATGCAAATATGTCTGTGGGTATCCCCATTGTGGATGCTCATAAGTATAGAGAAGATGAATGGCACATCCTCCATCAGCACTTGAAAAAGCTTTTGGCAAGCCAAAGCAGTCTGAACAGTACATCCTCCTACAGGGTTCTCTATCAATGCTCTCTAGTTATTTTTTTGTTAATATATATATTCCACCTTTCCTCCAGGAGCTCAAGGCAGTATACATAGCATTCCCTCCTCCCATTTTTCCTCCACACCAACCCTGTGAGATAAGTTGCACTGAGAGCTTCCATGGCTGAGATTAGACTTATGTCTGTTATCTATCTATCTATCTATCTATCTATCTATCTATCTATCTATCTATCTATCTATCTATCTAAAAAAAATGAAAAATGGGTGGTGAC